TCACTGAGCTGAACGTGTGTAGATCGCGGAGGTGTCGTACCTTCGGTGCTAGGATCGGTCGGATCATGAAGATGTACGACTACATCAACCGCGTTTTCATAACGCTTCCGCTTTCGGTCTACAAGGGTACGTAGACACACTATCCCCGCTCGTTGCTATGCATCTCCTAGATAGATCTTGCGTGATCATAGGAAAATTTTGAAATACTGTGTTCCCCAACACTATCACTGTCCACGTTCGAGCTCCGGCGGTGAGAAATCTCTTAACCTCCCAATGTGGGTCAGCGTGGGATACTCCAATAGATGCCAGAAGGAAGGATGCCGCTCCGCTGGATCCGCAGCCACCGGCTCTGGTTCTGGAACCCGTAGCCGGCGGCTGACCAACACCTCATCCGGATCAACGCACCAAGCTCTCAGCTTGAAGAGGGAGAGATTCTTGTGATTCTCTGTCTCCAGCGCAAGGCTATCAATCAGGCAGGAGCTGCCGAGCAGCTCCGCTGCCGTATCCTTGGTCCAAGCATGGGAAGACACACCCTCAATCAAAATATCAGCTTGAACACGCATGGACCTAGCCGTCGCATGAGCCTGGCGCGACCATGGCTTGATGTGGAGCTGAACCCCCTGATGCTGGACCACCGGGCTTGCCAGCGCTTTTTTCCTGAACTCATGCGAAGCAAAAACGACCAGAAAGTTCTCCAGGAAAAACTTGTGAACCAAAAATCGATGACGAGGAATGTCCAGCTGAGCAGCAAGCATCACCGTTGCCTCTTCACATGACACCGGTGGTCTGGCATTCCCCACATACACGACCACCGCAAGCTGGAGACGACGCTCCAAATCCTCCATGCCAGCCGACCTCTGGACGATGCACATCTCCGATAGGGGCGCCGCCACTGGGAGGGAGGACAACACGGGAAGGGGGCTGGGCGCGGCCGACGAGAGCGGCGCACACGGCGTGCTCTGCCTGGGCTCCCACAGCCTCCGTTCCCAGCCGCGGTCCAACTGAGGCACCGGCATGTCCCTGGAGGCCTTGGCGATGACCGCCTGTGGAGCCGCCACCGGGAGGGAGGACGACACGAGAAGGGGGCTGGGCGCGGCCGACGAGAGCGGCGCACACGACGCGCTCTGCCTGGGCTCCCACAGCCTCCGTTCACAGCCGCAGTCCAACCGAGGCACCGGCATGTCCCTGGAGGCCTTGGCGATGACCGCCTACGGAGATCCTCCGCCGAGATCGGGCTGCGCGGCCTCGTGCACTGCGAAGAGACATGCCCCGAGAGCCCGCAACGGATGCAAAGAGGATCATTGGTGCAGTCCTGTCGGCGATGACCTTCCCCGAAACATCGGAAGCAGAGACCATGCAGGTCCGGCGGAATCTGACGCCGCTTGGAGGAGGAAGATGACCCCGGACGGACCGCCTCCTGATGGCGGCGCAACGCCTTGCGGCGGCGCCACATAGCCTTGCGGGATGGGCCCTTCCTCCCCCAGGGGCCAGTAGCCGCCGGTATCTCCACCTCCTGCCTGGCACCCGCGACTGACGAGGAGCGTGCAGATCCAGGTGAGCCGGACACTCCCAGCCCAGACACGACCGGCCGCCCGCCATGGAACGAAGAGGAGACAGAAGACGGGCTCCGCGAGCCAGACGCCATGGGTGGACGCC